CTCTGGATAGGTCTGCTACCAATCTAATATTTCTACCATTGTATGTTACAGTCTTCTTGTCCCAAGATGCTTTTAGGATTTTCTTTTTGTCACTGAGACTTGTAAGTTTTACTATTAGATGATGGGGTGTGGACCTACTTTTGTTGATTTTGAGGGAGGATCTCTGTGCCTCCTGGATTTTGATGCTTGTTCCCCATTGGCAAATTAGGGAAATTTTCTGGTATAAATTGCTCCAATATACCTTCTGCTCCTCTCTTTCTTCTTCTTCTGGGATCCTAATTATTCTAATATTGTTTTGTCTTTTAGTATCATTTATCTCTCAAATTCTCCCCTCTTGGTCCAGTAGTTGTTGATCTCACTTTTCTCAGCTTCTTTTTTGTTCATCATTTGGTCTTCTATATCATTAATTCTCTTTTCTGCTTCATTTATCCTAGCAGAAAGAACCTCCAGTTTTTATTACACCTCATTAATAGTTTTTTTTTTTTAATTTCAATTTGGTTAGATTTTAGTTCTTCTATTTATTCAGAAAGGGATTTTATTTCTCCAGAATGGGATTCTCTAGTATATTCCATGCTTTTTTCAAGTTCAGCTAGTATCTTTTTTTTAATTTATTATTTATTTATTTATTTATTTATTTATTTTTTATATAAACATATATTTTTATCCCCAGGGGTACAGGTCTGTGAATCGCCAGGTTTACACACTTCACAGCACTCACTATAGCACATACCCTCCCCAATGTCCATAATCCCACCCCCCCCAACCCCCCTCCCCCCATCAACCCTCAGTTTGTTTTGTGAGATTAAGAGTCACTTATGGTTTGTCTCCCTCCCAATTCCATCTTGTTTCATTTACCCTTCTCCTACCCCCTTAACCCCCCATATTGCATCTCCTCTCCCTCATATCAGGGAGATCATATGATAGTTGTCTTTCTCTGATTGACTTATTTCGCTAAACATGATACCCTCTAGTTCCATCAATGTCGTCGCAAATGCAAGATTTCATTTCTTTTGATGGCTGCATAGTATTCCATTGTGTATATATACCACCTCTTCTTTATCCATTCATCTGTTGATGGACATCTAGGTTCTTTCCATAGTTTGGCTATTGTAGACATTGCTGCTATAAACATTCGGGTGCACGTGCCCCTTTGGATCACTACGTTTGTATCTTTAGGGTAAATACCCAGCAGTGCAATTGCTGGGTCATAGGGTAGTTCTATTTTCAACATTTTGAGGAACTCCATGCTGTTTTCCAGAGTGGTTGCACCAGCTTGCATTCCCACCAACAGTGTAGGAGGGTTCCCCTTTCTCCGCATCCTCGCCAGCATCTGTCATTCCCTGACTTGTTAATTTTAGCCATTCTGACTGGTGTGAGGTGATATCTCATTGTGGTTTTGATTTGTATTTCCCTGATGCCGAGTGATGTGGAGCACTTTTTCATGTGTCTGTTGGCCATCTGGATGTCTTCTTTGTAGAAATGTCTGTTCATGTCCTCTGCCCATTTCTTGATTGGATTATTTGTTCTTTGGGTGTTGAGTTTGCTAAGTTCTTTATAGATTTTGGACACTAGCCCTTTATCTGATATGTCATTTGCAAATATCTTCTCCCATTCTGTCAGTTGTCTTTTGGTTTTGTTAACTGTTTCCTTTGCTGTGCAAAAGCTTTTGATCTTGATAAAATCCCAATAGTTCATTTTTGCCCTTGCTTCCCTTGCTTTTGGCGATGTTCCTAGGAAGATGTTGCTGCGGCTGAGGTCGAAGAGGTTGCTGCCTGTGTTCTCCTCAAGGATTTGGATGGATTCCTTTCTCACATTGAGATCCTTCATCCATTTTGAGTCTATTTTCGTGTGTGGTGTAAGGAAATGATCCAATTTCATTTTTCTGCATGTGGCTGTCCAATTTTCCCAACACCATTTATTGAAGAGGCTGTCTTTTTTCCATTGGATATTCTTTCCTGCTTTGTCGAAGATTAGTTGACCATAGAGTTGAGGGTCTATTTCTGGGCTCTCTATTCTGTTCCACTGATCTATGTGTCTGTTTTTGTGCCAGTACCATGCTGTCTTGATGATGACAGCTTTGTAATAGAGCTTGAAGTCCGGAATTGTGATGCCACCAACTTTGGCTTTCTTTTTCAATATTGCTTTGGCTATTCGAGGTCTTTTCTGGTTCCATATAAATTTTAGGATTATTTGTTCCATTTCTTTGAAAAAAATGGATGGTACTTTGATAGGAATTGCATTAAATGTGTAGATTGCTTTAGGTAGCATAGACATTTTCACAATATTTGTTCTTCCAATCCAGGAGCATGGAACATTTTTCCATTTCTTTGTGTCTTCCTCAATTTCTTTCATGAGTACTTTATAGTTTTCTGAGTATAGATTCTTAGTCTCTTTGGTTAGGTTTATTCCTAGGTATCTTATAGTTTTGGGTGCAATTGTAAATGGGATTGACTCCTTAATTTCTCTTTCTTCTGTATTGTTGTTGGTGTAGAGAAATGCAACTGATTTCTGTGCATTGATTTTATATCCTGACAGTTGACTGAATTCCTGTATAAGTTCTAGCAGCTTTGGAGTGGAGTCTTTTGGGTTTTCCACATATAGTATCATATCATCTGCGAAGAGTGATAGTTTGACTTCTTCTTTGCCGATTTGGATGCCTTTAATTTCCTTTTGTTGTCTGATTGCTGAGGCTAGGACTTCTAGTACTATGTTGAGTAGCAGTGGTGATAACGGACATCCCTGCCGTGTTCCTGACCTTAGCGGAAAAGCTTTCAGTTTTTCTCCATTGAGAATGATATTTGCGGTGGGTTTTTCATAGATGGCTTTGATAATATTGAGGTATGTGCCCTCTATCCCTACACTTTGAAGAGTTTTGATCAGGAAGGGATGCTGTACTTTGTCAAATGCTTTTTCAGCATCTATGGAGAGTATCATATGGTTCTTGTTCTTTCTTTTATTAATGTGTTGTATCACATTGATTGATTTGCAGATGTTGAACCAACCTTGCAACCCTGGAATAAATCCCACTTGGTCGTGGTGAATAATCCTTTTAATGTACTGTTGAATCCTATTGGCTAATATTTTGGCGAGAATTTTCGTATCTGTGTTCATCAAGGATATTGGTCTGTAGTTCTCTTTTTTGATGGGATCCTTGTCTGGTTTTGGGATCAAGGTGATGCTGGCCTCATAAAATGAGTGTGGAAGTTTTCCTTCCATTTCTATTTTTTGGAACAGTTTCAGGAGAATAGGAATGAGTTCTTCTTTAAATGTTTGGTAGAATTCCCCTGGGAAGCCATCTGGCCCTGGGCTTTTGTTTGTTAGGAGATTTTTGATGACTGTTTCAATCTCCTTACTGGTTATGGGTCTGTTGAGGCTTTCTATTTCTTCCTGGTTCAGTTGTGGTAGTTTGTATGTCTCTAGGAATGCATCCATTTCTTCCAGATTGTCATATTTGTTGGCGTAGAGTTGCTCATAGTATGTTCTTATAATTGTCTGTATTTCTTTGGTGTTCGTTGTGATCTCTCCTCTTTCATTCATGATTTTATTTATTTGGGTCCTCTCTCTTTTCTTTTTGATAAGTCTGGCCAGGGGTTTATCGATCTTATTAATTCTTTCAAAGAACCAGCTCCTAGTTTCGTTGATTTGTTCTATTTTTTTTTTTTTTTTTTTGGTTTCTATTTCATTGATTTCTGCTCTGATCTTTATGATTTCTCTTCTCCTGCTGGGTTTAGGGTTTCTTTCTTGTTCTTTCTCCAGTTCCTTTAGGTGTAGGGTTAGGTTGTGTACCTGAGACCTTTCTTGTTTCTTGAGAAAGGCTTGTACCGCTGTATATTTTCCTCTCAGTACTGCCTTTGTTGTGTCCCACAGATTTTGAACCGTTGTGTTTTCATTATCATTTGTTTCCATGAATTTTTTCAATTCTTCTTTAATTTTCTTGTTGACCCATTCATTCTTTAGAAGGATGCTGTTTAGTCTCCATGTATTTGGGTTCTTTCCAAATTTCCTCAGCTAGTATCTTGATAATCATCATTCTGAACTCTAGTTCTGACATCTTACTAATGTCTGTATTGATCAGGTCCTTAGCTGTCAGTACTGCCTCTTATTCTTTCTTTTGAGGTGAGTTTTTATGCCTTGTCATTTTATCCAAATAAGAATAAATGAATGAGAGAACAAAATAATAAAATGGTAGCAATTACCCCCACAAAACATACAGTAAGCAAATCCAAAGAGACCCAAAATGGGGAGAGAATGAAGGAGGGGAAAATTATATAGATGTGTGTGTGTCTGTGTGTGTGTGTGTATTCGAATGGTGACTAGAGCAGAGCACACACTTGATTTTGTGTGTATTTTCATCTTTTAGAGGAAACTGCCCCCCAAAATTTTAAAGAAAGAAAAACTTATATATATACAAAAATAAGGGTAAACACTTTGAAGGGATAGAATATGACTATAAAGATGAAAATTTAAAGAGATTCTAAAAAAGGAATTGATAAGGTAAGAAGATGGTTGAAAAAAGAATTAAAAAAAGAGGAAAGAATGTGATCAGGCTGGAGACTAGAACAAAGTCATGCACTACATTTAGGGTATATTTTGATCTGTTAGAAGAAACTGTATCCCAAAATTTTAAAGAAAGAAAAACCTATATATATACAAAAAATAGGGTTAAATACAATGAAGGGATAGAATATGACTATGGCAATGAAAATTTAAAAAGATTTTTTAAAAAGGTGTTGATAAGATAAAATAGTTTAAAAAGGTTAAAATCAGAAAGAGGTTTAATTTTAAAAAATAGAATAAGAAAAAAATAAAATTTAAAAATTTTAACTTTGAAAGACTAAAGGATCATGGAGAAAAAGCAATGTATTCTATGTGCTGCATTCTCCAGGTCTGAAGTTCTGAGTTTTTCTTTGATCGGTGAACTTGGTCTTGACTGGATATTCTTGCTGATCTTCTGGGGGACCGGCCTGTTGCTGGGATTCTCAAATGTCTTTGCCTGAGGTGGAATTGCACCGCCCTTGCCAGGAGCCAGGTTAAGTAATCTGCTCAGTTTTGCTATGGGTAGTTTTTGTTCCCTGAACGCTTTCCTTTCCATACTGCTTTGGAGGATGGGAATGAAGATGGTGGCCTCCCAATCCCCAGCCTGGGAGGAGACCAGAACTCAGGGCCCCACTCCTCAGTGCACCCTCAGAGAAAAGCAATCAATCCCTCCCCTCTCCCTGGTCTCCCACTGTGCTCCGTGCTCACCTAGCCTGTGACCGATTGTTTCCGTCTCTAGCACTCCTCTGCATTTGGACTCTCCAAACATAGCCGATTCCTGAAGAGCACTCCTGAGCCACTTCCCCTGGGGAATGTAGGTGAGTCTCCCAGATCTGCCACTTTTGGGGTCCCTCCTCGAAGATCAGTGGCCCAACTGTGCCTGGGATCACAGTTTAAGGTCACACCGAGCTGAGAGCCCACTGCTCAGCTCCATTTCTGCAGCCGGTTTCCCCACTCTGATACTTGGGAGCTCTCCCACACTGAGACACCCCCAGTTTTTTTGTGACCCCATGGGACCTGAGACCACACTGTCCCTGCAAGGGCTCCACCCCCAGCTTATTCTCTGGAGTGACGTCCCTCACTGGAGCAGACTTATAAAAGTTCTGATTTTGTGCTCCAGGTCTCTACTGTTTTCCAGGAGCCAGCCCCCTCCCCCCACAGTTTCTCTTCCTGTGTATCATGTATCGAGTCCTTCAGGTCTCTGATTGACTTCTCCACAAGGCCTGTCTTCCAGAAAGTGGTCGCTTTTCTGCTTCTAGAATTGCTGCTCTTCTTCTCTTCAATCTCCTGTTGAGTGTGTAGGTCTTCAGAGAAGTTTGATAACTATGTAGCTGAACTCTTAGGTCTCTTACTTCTCCTCTGTCTTGCTCCTTCCAAAAACAGTCTTGATTGATTTAGTTGTAGCTCTTAGTTTTCCATGCCCAGAAACTTTGTAGTTTCATTGATTGGGGATCAATCTTTCCGGGTTGGGTGTGCAATCACAGCTGACCATTAAACCAGTCTGAAAGTGAATGGATGAATGCACGACGAGAATTACAATATGTAAGAGAACTATTACTCTCATGTCAGGAGCTAATACTTTCTCTTACAGTAGGCAAAAATTATGAAGACCAAAATACTGTCCAGTTGTATCTAAAGGCTGCTGAGAAAGTGTGACCCTGGAGCAAGAGGTATCCTTTGAATTTGAGGAATGTTGGTGACAGGCTCATGTGATACACTCTACTCTGATTGAGGAAAGCCTTTCTGAGGGACATGAGTGCTACCACCCTTTCCATCAGGGTCCACTTTGCTCTCTGAGTAGTGCTGGAAATACACTGCTAAAATGTACTTGCCTTGCTTGCTTGCTTTTCTATGTGCCAAATTGGCCAGATGATTTCCAGAATACATTATGATGTTTAGACAAGTTGAAAGCAAGGTTTATTCTGGACATTGAGTCATTCTGCTCCCTGATTCTGTACACATAGCTCTCCCAATCTATTTTAATATATCACAGAAATGTCTGCCAAATTTCGTAGTAAAATGAAGTGAACTTTCCTGTGGACATAAGAAGACCTAAAGGAATATGTGGGAAATTCAACATTTTTAAAATTTATTTTCTTATTCTTAGTTCTAAAACTTGGACTTTACTCCTTAAAATAATGCCATTCAACCATCAGTTCTTGTCCCTTGGTCCTTGAGATTGATATACAAATGAGTTAGTTTCCTTGGATCACACAGAAGTCTAAGGCCTCCTCAAGAATTTCATGATTCTCGGAAACTTATGTATTTCTACTCTAGTAGTGGTTCTGATTTCTTATTCTCTTTCTCCAATGGGTTCTTTCAGCTCCACATTGACCTGTGTAGGGAACAAAGACACCTTTTAAAATTTCCAACAATATTGCTTCCCCAAAACATTTCTTATAATGGGTTTTTACTGAAATTGTAGGGTGATGGAGGGGTAGGAGTGGGGGGGGGCATGTTGTGATGGCAGGTGGTATAAAGACTGAAAGCATTCAGGATGAATACTACACATCTATGTGTTAAAATGCTTCAGGGTCCTAACATGGTTTTTTTGTTTGTTTGTTTTTTACTTTTAGCCAGCATATAGTACATCATCAGTTTCAGAGGTAGAGTTCAGTAATTTATCAGTTGCTTGTAACACTCAGTGCTCATATATCATGTGCCATCCTTAATGCCCATCAGGGTCCTATCATGTTGAATTGAATTCCTTACAGGACATTTTTTCCCCCATGACTCTGATCTCCCAACACATCATGTTACTACTTACTGAACTTTTCTTAATGACTCAATTTTGAGTTAGTAGGAATGTTCTGGGTCTCAAAACAGTTTGTCCTCTCCTTTTCCTCCTATTTGTCTCCATATCATTTCTTCAACACCCTACTCTCAAATCAGAGTGGTCTAGTATGGTATTTTCTAAAACAAAAACAGCTCTCTGTAGACCACTACACTATCAATGTTTCAAAATAATGAGTAAACTTCATACTTCAAAATGATTTTTCACATTTTCCTGCATAGTCTCTGGTGAGTTGCTGTGATCTCCACTTTGAGAAAAATGGTACTGGTAGTCCCTTTTGTAGTTTCAATCTCAGACAGCAGCTGGCTTTCCATGACCTTGGGCATGTGGTACCTCTCTTAGGTACCTGGATCCTGCCTCAAGGATGTGTTATGTACTGCTCTGTATTACCCTGTGTGACTAGACCAATATGAGGAGAGCCCAATTACCAATACAATGAGTGAAACATTTGCAACATCCAATCTGGTTACACAAATAATTTTTACATTTCTCAGGAAAATGTAATATTTTTTGACATTGAAATTTCAAGTCTATACTCAAAGTTTTCCAAAATAGTTTGTGTGTGTGTTTTATTCATATGTTATTGTCAATCTCTAGTCTGACAACAATTGAGCCATGTATACTTATTTTTAATTGCATTGTATTATATTTCATTGTGTTTATTAATCCTAAGAGTTATAGAGTACTTTAGTAGGCTTTCTGAATAAATAGATATATTTTCCTTTTTTAGGGGTTTTTAAAAAGATTCCACTGCAATAGTCGTATCTTTTTGTCTGCCTCTTATATTATTGTCTACCCAAGTTTATCATGTTGAAAATTTTCTTCTATTTTTAAATTAAAAAAAAAAAAGAATGGATAGTGAATGCTGTTGAATGCTTTGGAAACATCTGAATGATTAAATGATACATCTTTTTTTCTTATTAGTCCTAGTTTTTGAATAATTATATTATGAGATTTCTCAATACTCTGCCTGAATTTTCAGGATAAACCCTACCTAGTCATGGTGGCTAATTTCTTTGTACTAATGGATTCAGTTTATAGTATTTATATTAATAAGTAAGGTTTGTGTTTTTAAATTTCTTTCTGATACTTTTTGTATCTAGTTTCAGGCTTAGCTTCTAAAAAACTTGAGTAGCTTCTGTAGCACAAGATGATCGTTTTTTGAAAATCTATATAATTTTTAGATAAACTATTTTAAAAAGTAGTTTTCAGATAAGCATTTAAATAAGTTTCCTGTGATCGTCTTTTTGTATTTTTAAATCTTTAATTGAATCATTTTAGGTAATATACTACTACCCATAAACTCAAGTATTCTATCAAGATGTTCTTATTTTTAGAATCACAGAGTATTTTCTATTTGTTTAATCTCTATATTAATATTTATTATATAAATATATACTTCATTATTTATTATATTCATTATTTATTAAGTTTCATCAGCATTTTAAAACATTTTTATGGGTTTTTTTGTTTTTTCATAGAACCAGTGCTTGGACTTATTTAGCTATTTTATAGTAATACAATCTTTTAAAAAATTAGTCATGTTATCCTGATTTTTGTAATAAGATTTTAAAAATTACTTAATACCTTCTTAAATCCTATGCTTTTTCAAGTATATTCTTACTTATAATGAAGACATTAAGGGTTATGAATTTGCTTCTGGCTATAACTTTGATAGATTTTTGATAGAATTAAGTAAATAAATTTATATATAGTTCTCCAAATTCCACTCTTCTAACAGTCTGTAGTTGTACTTGTGATTTTCTTTTATGACTCATGAGTTTCTTCAATTCTGCAATTTAATTACTGTTCTAATTTTATAAACAAACATCTCATGGACAATTGGGAAAAACGAGTCTTTGTAACGCTAAGCTTTAAATATATGCAAGTGTTGTGTATGTATTTGTAAATATATGCATATTTATATATATACAAATACATACACAAAAATTTCCCACAATTCTATTCCTATCCCTTTCCTGGAATTTCTGATTTGTTCACTGGAGTATTTTGATGCTTTGTTAGTTAATTAGGTCTTTGGAGCTAACTACCTTATTTTCTCTAGATGCGTATAGGGTTTTATTTTTATCCTTTTAATTAAATAATTAAAATTTTGCCTGAATTTCTGCACATACAGGGTGCTTTTCAATAATTTTTCCAGAAACACAATCAACATCTTTGATTGAGTCTTTATTTTTTAAAACATTTTACTCTGAAGTAATTTTAGATTTACAGAAGAATTGCAAAGACAGTACACAGAATTCCCATATACTCCCAGATTTAGCTAATGTTAACATGTTATGCAAAATGGTATGTTTATCAAAGAAATTAACATTAGTGTAATATTTTTAACTGAACTACAGACTTTATTTTGTTTTCCCTAGTTTTTCCAGTGTCGTGCCTTTTCTCTGCCAGGATTCAATGCATTTAGTTGTCATGCCTCTTTAGAATGCTCCAATCTGTGACAGTGTTTTATAACCTTGACACTTTTGATAAGTGTATTCAATCATTTCTTAAAACTAGCAATGGAATGCATTCTTCATCTGTGATTTCTGCCTCTATTCCAATCATTCTTCACATTTTGCCCCTGGGGAACATATATAATTAATAGGTTTGATCTCCATTGTCTTATTTCCTTATCTGTCATCTTCTTTCAAAGATTTTCTTCCCCCACTTCCCGATAAATTTGGAGAGTGTTTCTCACGTTTGTCTTCCACCATGACTATTTGATTATCTGCAATATCAATGTTGTCACCAACATTAAAAATATGGCTTGTCTCAATTTGATTTTCGTGCAACACTTTCTTATAGAACATTTTATCTTTGCTTGTAATCTATGCCATGCATCTACTATAATTACTTATTATATTAATTATAAATAATCTTAGCCTATTGTCTCCCTTTCATGACATGTTCCTGTTTCACAACATAGAAAGCCATAAGGGAAAAAAAGAGAATGAAGTAGACATAGACAAGCAGAAAGAAGTTTATGCAGCTACAAAGGAGAGGCAGCAAGATCAGCTGCTGTGGTTTTGAGAATTTCCAACTCAGATATCTTCTGAGAATGTCAAAAATCCTTGTAGGGTTTTCTTCTGTTTCCTTCAGAAGTTTGTTCCATGTGAAATTATACTTACCTTATTTTTCAGTACTTTTTATTTTCGGTCAGCCTAATTTTGTCTTTGTCTCTCTACATATCTGCAGGTGGGGCTGCTGCGTTCCGTCTACCTGCCAGCAGGGCTGATGAGGGCCCTTGGGCTTCCTTCCCCACTCCATGGTGCACTGCTTAAGAGCCCTTCTTGTACAGACTGACATATCTGTCGAGTTCCAGCTTACTTTCCAAAGCTGACCAAGGTTCCATCTAGTGTCTCCCATCCACAGTGAGTTGCTTTGGGTGACTGTACTTCCCACAAAACAGCATGATGTTATTCTTGCCATATTTCTGTTCTCTGAGACCAGTGGCCTCTGGGTGAATATAAAAAGATGAGGCAAAGGAGGAAAAGCAAAGTCCTAAAAGCACAGAGATGAATATCTCAATTCTTTTGATGGCTAGGAAAGATTGTCCAGCAATATGGGGGAGTGAAAATTGGCTGCCTATATTTTGGGGGAAAAGGGTGGGTAGAGCTGCTTATTCATGGTACAAAGGGTGGATAGATCGCAAGTGTTTTTTTATTAATTCATCAATTCAACAAATATGCACATTGTATCGTGGTTATGTATAAGGCACTATGCTTGGTTCTGGTAATATACACCTAAATAAGAAAGACTTGGTCCCTGACTTCGTTAATTTTTTTCCCAGTTGCTGAAGATGAGTTAGCATTTTTGAATGTCAGCATTTACTGAATGTATCTCACTCCATGAAATTGTTATCAGAACTAAACACGATAATCTTAGAGAAAAAAAAAAGATTTTATTTATTTATTTGAGAGACACAGAGAGAGAGAGAGAGAGAGAGAGAGAGGAGGGGAACAGGGAGAAGGAGAGAATCTCAAACAGACACTACACTCAGGGGCTCATCTCATGACCCTGGGATCATGACCTGAGCCAAAAGTAAGAGTTGGACATCCCTAACCATTATAACCTACATCCGGTATCTGTTGCATGGTAAACAGTTAGCCAAGATTAGCTATTGCTACTTTTGTTCTGATTATTATGACTACTGCTACTTTTTTTTTTTTTTTTAACTACTACTGGTCAGGAATTTAGGTGAACACCTTACATGGCTCAAAATGTTCAGCCTTCAAAATTTGGGGACATCAGTCTTCTTAGTTTTCCTTGTATTTTCATCTATTGGGGGGACACTTTGGTGACCAGAATGATTTCAAACTTAAAAATGGTTGCAAAAACAAAGAATTCCTTTACACTGTTTCCTACCTATCCCAGACTTTAACATCTTCGTAATCACGGTATAATTATCAAAACCAAGAGATTAACATTCCCATGATACATTTAACTGATCTATATACCTTATTCAAGTTTCCTAACACGAGTTGTTTGACCAATGTCCTTTTTCTAGACCACGATCTGATACAGGATCCCCTAAACCATTGAGTCCTTAAGTCTCTTTAGTCTCTGTTAATTGGGATACTTCCTATGCCTTGTGGTCTTTCATGACCTTGACACTTTTTGAAGAGTACTGGCCAGTACTCAATTTGGATTTGTCTCATGTTTCTTCATGATTAAATCCAAATTAAGGATTTGGGGTAAGGATATCAATGAAGTAATACTCTATTCTTCTCAGCACATCACGATCAGGAAGCACATGCTGTTATGTCTAATCTTTGAGAACTTTGACTGCTTGTTTAGCATGGTGTCTTCCAAGTTTCTCTATATTAATGTGACTACTTTTTCCCTTGGTAATTAATGAGCATCTTGAGGGGAGATACTTCGAGACTATGTAAATATCCTGTTTCTCATCTTTTGCCCACTAATTTTAGCGTTCATCGATGGTGATACTGATGCCAGTTTTATGGCTACTGATTATTCTTGCCCACAACAATTATTACTGTGACGTTTGCTGCTTTGGTGATCTTCTAATTCCATCATTCCATCTTTACTTCCTAACTGGAATTCTACTGCTGTGACAGCTTTATCTTCTTCTCCACTTATTTATTTATACAACTCTTTATTTATACAGTAAGGCTTCATGGATGTTCATTGCAATCATTATTTATTTTGTGACCCAGATCAAAATGACCCAGATTTGACCACTGGGAGCTCCTTGCAGTTGTGTCCCATTTTGAATAATATTTTATTTTATTTATTTTTTTTAAAGATTTATTTATTTATTTATTTGACAGACTGAGATCCCAAGTAGGCAGAAAGGCAGGCAGAGAGAGAGGTGGAAGCAGGCTCCCCACCAAGCAGAGAGCCCAATGTGAGGCTCGATCCCAGGACCCTGGGATCATGATCTGAACGGAAGGCAGAGGCTTTAACCCACTGAGCCACCCAGATGCCCCTTGAATAATATTTTAAATTGGAAACCTCATGTATATTAACTCCCCCTCCCCAAATTTTATTATTAAAACTTTTAAACAAAAAGTTAACTAGTCAGTTAAAATTTAGGATAAATGGCATGGTCAGAAAATTTCCTATGAGCAGTTTTTTAATGGTGGCAAGGAGGAAAGAATATTTAAATAGGGGGACCTTGAGGTTTTTATGTAAGTAAGGGGTGGCTCCGCATGAAATAAAGGAGAGAAGGAATCTGGAACAAGAAATTAAGCACAATGAACAAGTGTTATTACAACATCTAAATGGTGTGAGGTCCAATTTTTGGATGCAAACTTAAACCTACTTCACCCTTTTGTTTAGGATTGAAGCAGAGGAATGGGGTGATTGAATGCTGGGAATCAGGTATTGGACTCCCCTTTCCTTCTGGAAAGGCTTTATCTGACCTTTTCTGAAATGGAAATTTAGCCAGACACAGTCAACACTCAAATCAAGTGGTTGCCTGTGTTTCCATCATCCTGGGCCCCATTGGAAATGTGTCTACTTTTGAGAAACCATGGAGCTCAATCTACATTTCTCATTACCATTTAGTAAAAGAGGGACTGCAGTTGACTGTAACAGATAAAGGGCAATTGCTTATTTTTAAATCAATTCTTATTGATTTGGGAGACACAGGATTCTTAATTGTATGTGTACTTCATCTTCCCATTGGAAATTTCTATTTCATCTGATAGATAGATTCTGGTTTAAATTGCAGTGCAATATCCTGATGTGCGCTGGTTGGAAAAGGGTTTAAGTCTTTTCAAATACTTGAGAGAAGAGTCCACAGAACAGGAGAGCCTTTCTTTTGCTGATATTAGCAGTCTTGACTGGTGAGGGAGGCTCTGAACCCAGACTGCTTGGGTTTGAATCCCCCTTCAGTCACTACCTGTGTAACCTTGGGTGAGCTACTTCAACTCCTGATGTCTCAGTGTGTTCATCTGTGAAATGGGTATAACAGTAGTACCATCTACCTTATGAGGTTGTTGTAAAGATTAAGTGAGGATAATTGATGTAAAGCATTTAGCTTTGAGCCTGGCCTCTTCTCTCTCTTTTTTTTTTTTCCCTCTCCCCTGGGAAGAAAGTGCAAGTTATCACCATTTTGTGGCTGAGCAGCAAGTTTCATCTCATTTTCCTTGGAATCTCCCTTTTTCAATTTGCTGAAGTATATTTTTATATGCCTGCCTATCAACATTTTTAATAATTCTATTGATAAAAAATTGTGAGCTGTTTTTATTCACATATCACTTATTCTTCTTTTCATTGTGACATACTTATAAGTGATTACAGGTAAATTTTATATTTGTGCTATATGTATTTCTCATGAATATATTTATACATATGTAATGTATGGTTATAATTGATTCACAAAAAAAAGAACACAGAGATCAAAGGCATATGTTATTTTTAGGATTATGATACAGCTTTTAGTTAGTTTGGTAGATGTTTATACTAGTAATATGCTTTAATTCCGTCTTTTAAAAATCTGACCATGTTTTGGTACATCATGTGAATAGAGCATTAAAAATTTTTTTTGCCAAATGTGTATTTCTAAATTATTTCATTCATAAATGCCTCATTATTTATCTCTAAGAGTTAAAGATATTTAGCATAACCAAAGCAACATTATCACATCTAAATTTTTAAAAAATGCTTAATTTAAGAGAAATGCAGAAATACATCTGTAATTTTAAAAAATATTATAAAGAAATTCTGTATATCTTTAACCCAGTTTTTTCCAGTAGTAACATCTTGCATAATCATGATGCAATATGACAACCAGGAAATTTATATTGATGCAGTTCATCTCCACATCTAAAAAGTTTTCACAACAGTTCTCTAACATCATTCAATGTAAAGATAGTGTTCAAATTTCTGTATTATTTCATAATATTTTCCCAGTTGTTTTCTTGTCATCAGTAGGATCTTTATGCTCTTGAGAGCAAAACAAACTTCTGTCTTACTAACCTTTGCTGCCTTTCCTAGCCCAGTGTGGATAAGGATATCGCAAGCCCATTCTGCACTAGGTGTGAGAATGGAACAGGACAGAGAGACAAAGAGAAGGTTACCTAGTTATGATTACTGTCCCTAATTTGAAAGTCACAAAATGGAATTGCCAAACGAACAGGTGCTTATGCAAGAACCCATAGCGCTAGAGCCACACCTGGAAGCTTCTTTCCTGTTTTCTGTGACAGCATGAGAGATCCATGGATGCTCTAGGGAAAAATTCTTTTAAAAATTCTGGACAGTTGACAACCCGCAGGACGGGTGGGACTCCACTCCAATATTGCTGACACAGCTTAATATGTTCCGGTACACTGACTTCGAGGGCTGGTTAGCTGGGCTCTGGATGAAAGGACACGGGACCTGGCTTTAAGGACACAGGTTCCATTCTGATCCCATCATGTACCAGCCGTGAACTTTGGGCAGGTCATTTAATCTTTTTGAAATTCTATATTTCATCCATGCAGCAGAAATAGGAGTGCTTATTTTATAGTTTTATTGGCTGATGACACAAGATAATGTTTGTGAAGTTGCCCAGCACATCCCAGTGTTCAATAAATGCTAGTTCAGCCGGGGTGCTTGGCAAACAGCAAAAAACAAATGCTACAAAAAACGTTTTTCGATGTTAGCGATGAGGCTGAAAATTTGAAAACTATTTTTTTTAAATTCCCTGGGTACTTTAATTTTTCTCCAGACAAGCACAAGGTTGACACAGGACACCTCTTTCATAGAGGGAGTCATGACTAGGGTCTGGCATTCACCTCCCTCTCCCTTTCGGCCCCACTTCCTGTATATATCAGGGCTGATGCATGCTCAAACTGCTTGTGACTTGAGCTAGACCTGGTTGAACATCAATGGCCCCTTTGTGGGCCATTTTGTTCTGTTTTTTCCTTAGGAGCAAAATGCCATCCTGGTCAAGATCTAGAAAGTTGCTGTTTCATTGTAATAGGATATGCATTTAAATCAGAGCTATGCAAGTTGAAAGATACTCCTGCTCGCATCAGATTCAGCAAGCCAGGGGGAAAATCTCCTGTCTTCTGGAATCACTGAGCCTGAAGGCCTTTGAGGCTGGCTGGCAGCAGGGTTGCCTACTAGCAGCCCACTCTTAATGTAGATATTTTGTGTCTGCACCACCACTGGCAGTCAAACATTGCAAATAAATCCTATTATTTGTTCCTTTCCTTCCTAACATGTTATTTCCGCACTTATGATTTTAGAAAGATGTTATTTCCAAACTTTGGGTATAAAATGAAAATTTCTTCTACAACACCTGCCACGATGCTGTATTTTTTATTCCCTCATAAAGGAAGTTGCTTTATTATGGAATTCACAACTTAAAAACATCAATTGTGTCATTATGTAATTGAATTCCTAAATGCATCTTCTTTTCTTTTTAGCCTCTAATATCAGGATGTATAAAATGAGCAGAAAAAACACAATATGGGGTTAAGCCTTGGGAACTGCATGAGAGTTTGGGAAAGGTTTTAGGATGCTTTTATTTAAAATGTTAAAATCTTTTGGTAATATTAGGAAGAGTCTCTAAAGCTTTTTCTAATTTAACTATTTCAATAAGTGCTGAAGATTTTCTGTGGAAAGAGCACAAAAACTCTTTAAACAAAGGCCCATTTCACATTTTAATGCAAATTAGTATAATTTGGAGAGGCCACCTATATTTCTAAATATAACGCTGCATAAAATTAGTGGCATATTTTATATTATCCATTCACTTAAACTAATCTCACTTCTGAAAAGCCCTATAGGGATGAATAGATTGCCTGTAGAAAGTAGGCTCATAAGCTTTCAAATATTTAAAGAAAAGATGAGACTATAAAGGCATGGAGGAGAGAGGATATAGAATTCTCGAGAAAACATTACTCAAGCTTCAATGGTGATAGTGTTGGAAGAATAAGGCTCATAAGTAGCTCCCACCTCCTGTGGTTCCCCAAGATTGCACGGCCGGGAACAGTGGCCACCGCAGCCGTCAGGACCACAACAAGGGACGGTGCTGAGACCATTTCTGGAAACATTGCTAATAGCCTCATTTACGATTAAATGCCCCATAATATATCATTCCCTTGCTTCATGCATATATTTGTACCTCATTTATGATGAATTGCCTGCCCTTGAGCAGATGAGTCGATGTAATTGCTGTTTAGTGTTTCTCTGCTCTGCTTGTGGGACTGGACTGTTCTAGAAGACTCTCGGGATTGCTTCCTTTTCCCCCATTTGCTTCCCACAGTACTTGGGGTGGGGAGGGTGGAATGGCAGAGCAACTATTTCTTCTCCAGGTCAGGAATTCTGCATGTGAATGACAATACAGGTAGTCATTAACTCAGATTCTTCAGGGACAGAGTCCTGGACAGAGGGCCCCTCTCTCCTCTGCCCAGGCAGGGGGTAGGCTCCTTCCCTGCATTACTGAACATGCAATCCACATTTCAAGAGCCTGGCAAGATCTAGGCAGGGATACCGAACCTCTGATAAAAGTAGGCATTTGCTAACAACCTGAGGAATGTAGGGTGAGGTATGACAATGAAGATATTTAGAAGAGACTCTGCTGTTTTTGATGTGGAGAAATAGATATCTGGGAGGGAAGAGAAAGGAGCTGGGGTTCGAAGGGGGCCTGCCAGTCACTAACCAGCAGCCAGGACAGAAAGGTGACTAACGGCTACTAGTCCAGTATCCCGGGCTGCTGTGATGGGATGCGTGCTCTGCCCAGTGCTTGAAGAAGGCAGGCCAGGAAAATAAAAGCAGTAGACGAAGACTGAGGCCGGTTCAGGAAGGTTGCAAAGGATACCGATAAACTCCAGATAAAATGCATTTCTGAGTGTCAGGAGATCCTGAATGGGAGCAAGCAGGATATTTAGTGCTTACTTCTGGAGACCCTGGGATATAGAAGGGATTGTTCAAAAAATCTAGACTGTACATTTCTGTGTCCTTTGAGTGAGTGCTGCATACAAGTCCCAAGTAAGTCTGAAACCAGGAATAATAATGGGCCCATTTACCAAGTACACATCGCAGTCTCCTGGGCATTCTTAGCCAGTCGAAAGTTTTAATATACTTGGGGTAATTTAGGGATGATAGTCTCCAAAAGCTAAGTGATAGAAGGAGGGTGTAGGGATTCTGAATCCTGGGCACCTGTGTGTGTGTATGAAGAGCAGATGTTTCCTCACAGTTTTCTGTGGAATGGTTTAGTCCTCAGGATTAAAGGGAGATTAATCTATGGGAGATGGGTTTTTAGTCATGGAGCTGCCTTTTCCCCAGTGGCCTGGGAAAAGTGAGGGACACTCAGTTCTGCCTCATGAAATATTCCAGCTTCACACCTTGGATTGGGCCACCTGGGACCTGGATTGGGGACATGTAGAAAACCAGACAGAATAGAGAATTTGAAGTGACAGGATGCACAAGGACAGGGTTGGTGACCTCTTTCCATTTGAAGAGCTCCAGATCCCAAGCTCCTACTTCTTTGTTCTTCTTTTTCTAAAAAAAAAAAAAAAAAAAAAAAATTGAGGTATAATTGACATAACATTATAATAATTTCAGGTGTACAATGTAACAACTCAGTATTGTATATTTTGCAGATGATCATCACAACAGGTCCAGTGAACATCCCTCATGATATATGGTTATTTTTCTTCCAACTTCTAAAATGAGTGAGTAATGTGGGCATCATGGACTCTAAGCCAGAGGGAGTTGCCCATGTGGATGGTCTCTTGTGGGACCTGGTACTGTTGGTGTATATCCTGTATGGGCCCTTGGCCCAGTGTAGGGCACACCTGAAGTCCTCTACGTGGGATATCAGTGTGCTGCCCACATCATATCCTCTCAAGAACCTACTGAAGAATCCTAAGGGTGGGTGGAAAGAATTCCTAGGATAGTTCTGTGCCTCCTGACCCCTGGTTCTCAAATTTCAGAAAATAGGTTCTCTGTTGCAATTGACATATTAAATTCGAATGTCAAGTGGAGACATTTTAAATATGGGAGATAAGCTATCTCCCATATTTAGAATAGTAATAAACTGCCCAGAAGTACTGGTCCTCTTGAACTTTTGTGAACAGAGTTTTGGGTGCTCTTTGGGGTCTGAAATGAGTCACTATTGTATCCAATGAATCTTAGAACTGTTGGCCATCCTTGATTAAACAGAAGTCCTTATATTGCAGAAGAGGTAATGTCTTGCTCAGTGTCATATAGAACATTTGACTAACTCTTTACCTGAGTGGGCAAGGCTGTCAGACATGGAAGTTTATGGTCTTTAGCATCTTGGACCATCTAGACCCAAGAAAGCTTGGTAGATGGAGAGGTACTGCTTGCACTCTTGACTTCCTCTTTCTACTAAGAACAGCCCATCCAGGGGATTCGAGAGTAGAACCACCCAATGGAAGCTCAGAACTAAAGATGAATCCTTCCTTGAGTAGTTCTGCTACTGATGATAACGGAGCATGCTAGGTTCAGAGTTCAGGTTACAACACCATTTTCTAGTTGTGTTGCTATGCACAACCTATACTTTAAGATTGACGGAGGAAGTAGCAGGAGGATGGTTCTGGAACTCTACGGTAGCCTCTGTGGGCCATCACATGCTTCTGCAGGGTGCTGAGTATAGCTAGGTACCTATCTCAGGCAGCTTTTAAACTAGAGTTCAAGGTGCCTCAGAAGATCAGATCAAGGCTGAATAGTTGTCTGAAGAGAAAAGTCTGTGGGAGCAGGAAGAGAGTAAGTGAAAGATCCAAGAGTTTTAATAAGATGTAGGCAAGAATGAGAGAGAAAGTGAATGGGAACACGCCATATAAACATCGCTAGAAGAGGAAAGAAGGGGGCATCTTCAATAGAAAACTTTCAGCCAGGGCCATTTTAGTCTGCATAAACTCTAAAAAATAATTGTAATTTTGGAATTTCTACACCAAAGAACATCCAACATTTACATATTGCCAGATCCAAAATGAAATATAAATTTTGTTGTAAATAAAGCAACAAGATTTTTATAATTGACTTTTAAAATTATCTGCTGTCAAATAACTCATTTACTTCATGATTGACGGTGATTTCATTGAAATCATTGTGCATTCAAAATCCTTGCTAAGTGAGAAAATAGATGCTCCTGATTATTTTCAAGTCGTAGTAAAATTTTGCAAATGTTAAATTTAATGATTGGTAAATCTGAGGAGTATAATATTTTATAGGCATTAAATTAAACATTTATTAATTTTGAATTTCAGCCTTCCTTTTAGAGGTAATAACTTTTTTTTCAGGTGTCTAGCATTTTCATGGGTCCCTGAATAGCTCACAGGATCTTGTCGCTGTGCCTAGAGTGACAGTTGGATAAGACAGCTGTTTCCAGCTGAGCCCACCACAAGGAAGACAGTTGCTAAGCCAGTTTAGACAGTTGGGTACAATTTGCCAGGAGAGTTCTCAGAAGATGTAGACAAATGACCTTTTTGTTGTCTTACCTTCAGTTTTACAATGGTGTGTTGTTTCTGTGGTTTATTTAATTGCATTCCCAACAGAAGGGAAAGGAATGGATTGAATATCTTCTGATTACAGATCAAACAGATTTCTGTCCTAAAAGGCTCGTGGAAATTCTGGACACTGACTTGTCAAGGCAAGAAGGTGTTTTTTTATTTGCATTATATCTTGTTCCACAAAAATTTGAAGTTACATATCACAAATACACATGTAACACTATGGAGAAAATGTTATTCTCTTATATGTCATTAGAAGAAGGGAAGATCTTTGGAAAATTCTTTGGAAAGCCACTTGGAAATGTAGTGGAGACTTCAGGGCCTGAGTGACCACTGTTGGAGGAAGTCCTCTTTTCCTACCAGAAGGGTGAGAAATTGGAAATTCTATGTGAACATTCAAGGAAGAAGGAACAGGTACTGGAAGAGCCAGACCTTGCAGGGTGGCCTCCCATAGTGAAGAATTTGGAAGCATTTGGGTTTAAATAGAATTGTCAATGGCTTGTGGTGTGTTCTTTCTGGTGAGCTTGAAGAGGAAGACAAAGGGACATCGACATTTAAATCACACACATAGCGGGTGTAATATAAATCAGAACAGATATTACAGAAAGGAGACACATGGAATACAGAGGACTCTACCTAAAATGAAGCTATGAATTGTCCTGATACATGTTCCCTAAGATCCAGAAATTATTAATTATAAGCGTTTTAGTAAAATGAATATTGTGAGTTGGCATAGAGCAAGATTCAGGACATTAGTCTCCTTTCCTCCCCTTCTTTGGGACCTCAGTCATCCTCATGCTGAAAGATGGAGGAGCGGTTCTCCAAGGTTCTCTTCTAAGCTCTCTTCTTTCTTTCTTCTTGCCTTTGGATCTTATTCTCTTCACCATACTCTCCTCTGCCCAATTTTTCTTCTTGTTAGTGGTTAATTGCTTTTATCAATGATTTTACTAAGTCACTTTCAGCTTTTTCTTTTTCTTACTTTCCGGATGCAATCAGTTGATAAATACTATTAATACTACCTGGGAAATCTGTCTCACCCTGTATCAGCTTCCCATTGCCACCATAACAAATGACTACAAACTTTGTGGTTTAAAACAACACAGATTTATTATCATATAGTTCTAGAGGTCAGAAGTCCAAAGTAGTTTCTTGGGCTAAAATTAAGGCATCAGCAAGATTGCATTCCTTCTGGAGGTTCTAGGGAAGAATCTACCTCTTTACGTTTTCTAGCTTTTAGGGGACATCTGTGGTGTTTGGCTGATGCCTCCTTCCTCTACCTGCAGAACTAATAAGATAGCATCTTTCCTCCTATCTTATCTCTGTATCCATCCTTACATTTTCTCTCTCTGACTCTGATCTTTTTCCCTTTTTCATATAAAGACTCTTGTGATTAGATTGAACCCATCCTTATAATTCAGGGTAATCTTCTAATCTGAGATCCTTAATCCCATCTGCAAAGTCCCCTTTGCCAGGTAAGGTCACATATACATAAATACTAGGGATTTGGATGTGAACATCTTTGAAGGGCCACTCTATAGCCCAGTACACACATCCTTGACCAATTCTCTCTCTCTTTCTTGTCACTATCCTATCTGCCTTACCTCATGTCTAGAATTTGTAATAGCTTTAAAACCAGACTATCTCTAGCACCTCACTCTTCCTGTCCAAAATCTATACGGCTTCCCCTTATCTCCTTGCAGCTGAGATCTGGTCACACCTTCTCCAAAGCCTTCCCCAAAGCCATTTAGTGGATCCTTACATAAGCATGCAGAAGAAAGCCCCAAATTCTCAGACTTGAAAGGTGGTCATTTGCACCATCCCCATGTTCGACCCCCTGCAGGACTCAACCCTGTATTTGTATATACCAGCTCTCTTCATGACTCCTTCTATATGCCCTGAACTTTCTCAAATATTTCCATCTGCTTTTAGAATCCCTTCCATGTATAATTTTCTTCTGTTCCTACCTTGTTGGCTGAAGTTCAAGTTGTCAGTCAGGGCTCAAATCAAATCTTCCTTTTCCTGAGGTGCCTGAGTGGCTCCGTAGGTTGAGTGCCTAACTCTTGGTTTTGCTTTGGGCCATGATCTCAGAGTCATAAGACTGAGCCTTGTGTTGGGCTCCAGGCCCAGTGGGAAGTCTGCTTGGCAGTTCTCTCCCTCTACCTCTCCCCCAACTCAGGCATACACACTCTCTCTAAAATAAATAAGTCTTTAAAATAAAAATCTTCCCTTTCCCATTACAACTAGGTCTATCCAGTCTTCACATATTTTTATCATCTCTCTTCCTTCCATATCCCCCCTCTGCATTTTTATAATGGCATGGTTGTCGGTCTCCTCAGACTATGAGGCTCTAATGGGAAGAGACCCTTACCTGTGTTTTTGAGATCTCACAGCTCTTAACAAAAATGTATTGCTCATTGATTGAAGAATGTGAACAGATATTTGTCTTATTAACTATTGGAGAGTTTTTCTTTAGGGAGTAGCCAAGGGATTTATAGATTTGCATTAAAATCACTTTTAAAGGAGTATTAAGGCACAACCACAGAAGTTTTGCATATTTTGGTTTGCTCCTTTTCTGGCCAGAGAAATGTTTCTCCCTTCATTGGACTAGGGAGTCCAAGTCTCTTGGGGAGGGTTAGAATTATGGGAAAGATCCCTCAGGTCTTTCCCAATTCTTTTGCACCCCCACCCCCAGTAGCGTTTCACATCTGCTTTGTCGTTTGTGAGTCTCAGATATGGTGCCAAGGGGCCTTGTCTTCCAACAGATACTTCTTTTCAACTCTGTCTGCGGTGAATGATTCCTCTCAGTTCCTTATCCAGTCTATAATTCCCCATTTCTTAGCTGTATTGAAGGTGAGGAAGGCCTATCTGATCTCCCAAGGGGCTCAGTGCCAATGGAGTAATTAGCTAGGCTTCATGCCAATTCAGAGCTTTGATCTAAAAACCCATAACCTTTAGTTTCAATACGATGGCAGAAGAAGGTGCTGGGCTAAAGAAGAATGCTCTAGGCTCTTCTTTCAGAACTGTGTAAACATTACCCAGACGACTTGAGAACTGGACTATATGAAGTATTGTTGAAAAAAAAAGAGAGAGATTTATTGGTTCATTTTACTAATCAAACTCTGACAGTGTGTCAGTGGCCTCACAGTAAATTTCAACTAAGGCAGCCTCTATTCCAAAGCAATAAGGCAAATACAGTT